AATTCTTTTCAAAACTAGCTTAGCTCTTATCTCAGAAAAAATCAGACTTATACGCACAGAACTAGATCAGTTAGACAAGACACTCTACAAATCACACTTATCATTGACGGCAATAATGTCCACATCGGATTGGGAACATGTAGACAATATGACTGCCTCTTCAGCTGCTATGTCGACCAAATGTAAGGAAAACCTGATTTCCAAATTTAACCTCCTCTTCAACAAAAGACCGGACCCACACACCAAAAAGATAGACGTTAATAAAGTCGTAATTAATCGCAGTAACAGTTCTATTTCCGATGGTCTGAAATCCGTTTTAGCTAAAGGTCTAAACTTTGCAGTCACACCTAAACATATACCAGTTAATGATATAATTGCCCAAGTTGACGTTGCTCTCAGGGGCCGGGGTCACATCGCTGCAGACGTAGCAAGATCTGAAATCGCTGCAACCCTCAAAAACGCTAAGATGCCAGCTAGCAACCTCAGCAAAGATGAGCGTTTTGAATTATATAAATTAAAAAAGAGGAATGATATTGTAGTTCTCTCAGCTGACAAAGGCAATGCTACTGTCATCATGGATAAAATAGAATACAACAACAAAATTAAAGAATTACTCGACGATGGTAGTTATACAAAAATAAAAAGAGATCCCACCAACAGCCTCGTCACACAAACCAACAAAATAATTTCTGATTCAACCGCATTAATTGATCAATCTAAACAGTTTTCGTTGAAACCTTCTGCTGCCAGGCCACCAAGATTATACGGCTTACCAAAAATACATAAAGTTGATACACCTCTTCGTCCCATAGTCTCTACTATCAGCTCCCCCACCTACAAACTAGCTCGTTTTTTGTCTGAAATCCTGCGTCCTTTCACTGGAAAGACCACCTCTGCGGTACAAAATTCTACTCACCTGGTATCAACAATCAAGGGTATTTCCCTGTCCCCAGACGACCTGCTTGTCAGTTTTGATGTAGTTTCCTTATTCACCAAGGTTCCTGTACCTGACACCATTGCAATCATTGAAGACTTGGTTCATCAAGGACTAAACACTGAGGTACCCCCCCTGGTGAGACACTGTTTAACCAATACATACTTCACTTGGAATGGAACTTTCTACAAACAAACTGAGGGCACCCCAATGGGCTCCCCCCTTTCTCCAGTTATAGCTAACATTTTCATGGAGAAATTTGAGACTGACGCCATCCAGACTGCCACTCTGCGCCCAACCTTATGGAAGAGGTACGTGGATGACACTTTTGTCATCTGGCCACATGGCCGGCCTGCTCTAGACCAATTCTTCGACCACATCAATTCCATACACCCAGCCATCAGATTTACCATGGAAGTCGAAATAGATGGCAAGATACCTTTTTTGGATGTCCTAATTAAAAAGAGACCTGATGGTTTAATGAGCCACTCTGTCTACAGGAAAGCTACCCATACGGATGCTTATCTGAAACCGGATTCCCACCACCATCCATCACAGAAGAATTCTCTCATCAAGACTCTGTATCATAGAGCCCAATGCATATCCGACCAGGAACACATAAGCAGTGAACTCAAGCACGTACACCAAGCTCTTAGGGCTAATGGTTACTCCGACTATACAATCCGCAAAGCTATCACTCAAACTATGAAGAAGAACCCTCTTGAGGAGCCTTTCAAAACCATCACTTTACCCTACATTGCTGGGATCACAAAAAAGATCTCCAAAATCTTGAATAAACACAAGATCCAGGTCCGTTTCAACACATTACATAAAATCCGTGATCTGGTTCCGTCTGTAAAGGATGTGATTCCGGACATACAATACCCTGGTGTCTACAGACTAAGTTGCCTCTGTGGTAGTAGTTACATTGGAGAAACCAAACTCCATGTCTCGGACCGCATTCGTGAACATAAAGCAGACCTTAAACACGGTAGGACCAACACCTCGGCCGTAGCAGATCATTGTTCTAATTCAGTAGGCTCACATGCCATTGACTTTTCCAAGACGGAGGTTCTTTGTAAGCCATCTGGCTTCCATGAGAGATTCGTTCATGAGGCTATCCACATATACAAGCACAGAGACAATTTCAACCGAGAAGATGGATTCTGGCTTAGCAATCATTGGAAAGATTTGATAAATCATTTCAGTTCTTGATTGATTGTTCACGCTTACAGTGGCTTTCAGACAGCATACATTATAAAAAATTTCGTCTCCCCCCTCCTCTTTTCAAGAAAAATAGATGGACTAGTCCTGGGCAAACTGCCAATCGCTGCGCGTGACGCCAACGTTTTTTATAAATAAATAAATGTGCCGTTTTAAAAATAAATTTATGCAAACCGACACACCTGATGATGACCGTTTGAGTTATGGTCGAAACGTCGTGAGAATTTTTTTATTGTTTTATATATATTTTGTTATTTTGTTGTTTCTCTTCAACGTGACTTTACCGAAAAAACTAAGAATAAAAACAAGACTAGTCAATAATACTGCCTTTAAAGAAAATTATACAATCGGCGACGTTTCAGGCAGTGACCCTTCATAACACAACATTCCACGTTGCCGATTGTATATGTCGTTTTAAGGAATTGTTGTTGACGAGTTTGAGGGGTTTTTTTAGTTCGACACATTGATGAACTTGTGCACCGTGTCACCCCGAGCGTCAAGACTGATGTTGAGCCCAAATCGATCTCAGAATCTTATCAATTGATGGCTGGCACCTTGTCGACAGATAAACAGCGACGACGCCAACCAGGCTTTGCGCAATGAGTCATGCGTACTAAAAATCCCCCCACGACATCCTCTTGGTGTTTCCTTGTGCTCTCGTTCCCCGGGTCAGGACAAGACTTCAGAGGCGGGGGGAAATGGGACACTTGCCCAGGGCCCAAAACTCCAGGAGGACCCACAAAAAATACCCGTTATTTTTGTTTAACTTTTTTTTAAAGTAGATCTGCTTATTGATGTTATCATTTTATAATGGATGGGGTTTTTTTAAATACAAACCGCCTTGTCAGTGGATTCCTAAATACAATATAAAAAACTCACGTTCGTCAAATCTTAAGAGGTGTTATCTGCTATAAAAGTGGGCTATTGTCAAAGACATGAGCAATTATATACTGCATTCCTTTTTTGGGGCAGTCTTATTGAAGAACATGTTGAGTTTATATCATTTTCTTACGGACAATGTCACAATTATTAATTGCTATTCGATTAATGCGTTATTAAAATGTAATTCAATTCACCAAGAGATGAATGGCTTTTCACGTTGTTCCAGCTGTGTTTTTTACCATACTTCACTACGCAGGTCGGTGCAAGTTGGTGCAGATAGCGGAGGACATGACCACCTGGGCTGTTTTAATGTATGTGTATATATACGTAAGTGAAGATAGTATATTCTGCTCTGGTTTCCCTGGAAGAGTATACCCAAATTCAGGCCTACCCCAGGTCTTCCTTATCAAGATTAGTTCAACAAAGACTTACACACAATTACAGTATAATCAAAACCTCTCCTATTAGCAAGTAAGCTCAAATTTACTTTTAACTTAATTTAGTTAACTTGTTAAAAAAACCCCTATCAGATATTACCAGTTGAGGAAAAGCTATACATAGAATATTACGACCCAACTAAGTCAGTTAAATAAAGTCACCAAATAATGGGTTTGTTGATCAACCAAATTGGCATATTTGGCCATGTGACAAGCCAATTTGATGAGCTTTGTCAGGTGCTGGAGGATTAGAATAAAAAAACACATCTACACGATATAAAACTAACCCAAAGTAAACTACTTATGATTTAGTTGAAATATTCGTTGTTGGTAGCAGCAAATGTACTCTATAGCCCCGGCCTCAACGCCACTGCCAAGGCCCGCATCTTGTATCCATTGTGGTCATCAAAGGCTAGTCAGAAGCTTACGATTCAAGTGCCTCTTGGGATTGCAATTTGGCAGGCAGATTTGAAGCACATCGCACAGCTCGCTTAAACGCTCGGCATTGTTAAAACTTGATTTCCAAATGCCATGTTTCTTGAATTTCCTGCCAGAGGTTGGACGGTTTCAACACTATACAAAAAACGTTACGAATTACACCATGTAAAATGAAATAATTACTGCCCAAATCTCAGGATATGCAAGAATGGAACCCCACGTTTGTTTACACGCTGTATGGTTCTAACCCAAGCAAATATACTAGAAACATTGTTACTATTCATATTCTTAGTTTTTCGGTAAAGTCACGTTGAATAGAAACAACAAAATAATAAAATATATAAAACAATAAAAAATTCTCACGTTTCGACCATAACTCAAACGGTTTGAGTTATGGTCGAAACGTCGTGAGAATTTTTTGTTTTATATATATTTTATTATTTTGTTGTTTCTCTTCAACGTGACTTTACCGAAAAACTAAGAATATGAATTACTGCAGTCACGAAAGCTTTAAATCAAAATTGTTACTATTGTCAGGTAATGGGGATACTGTACAGGTGGAGAAATTACCAAGTTGCTTTCTTCGGAGATGTAGAGACACTTTCTATAATGAATAGTTTATGTACATCGCAACAATAGCGAGACGGATTATATAGTTAATTATGAACTTCTTTTGCACCGTACGTAGCAAAACACGCTAATTAGTGCAAGATGCGTTGCCAGTGGCCAGAATAGACCATTTGGGACATGTTCTTCATAAAAACTTACCTTTATAGCAGTGAACAGCATCCTTCTCAAACAACACTGTGAAGAATGGCTATTGGCCAAGATGTCACAAAGAATGTCCTTAATACTTGAATGCATTGTTACTAATGAATGCATTAAGTCTTGTTGTAATTTGTGCTGTGTATCACTGACAATTAAATGCCAAATAATTTGTCTATTAGAGAAAACGATTACTGTGGCAGGATACGGTGTGCATGGCTGCAAGTGTTACGTTAAAACTGAGACTGCCCGTTTTATGTTGCAGTTTGCTGTTTAAGGGAACCATGCGTTTCATGACATGCACATTGTTTCTTACAGAATGACAAGGACATAACGAACTTTATTAAAACTAAAAGAAAATTAATATTTGGGAAAAACAGTTTAAAGCAAAGATCACCGGAACCCAATATCTCTCAGCGAAAGTCTTATACAGCAGAATGTTTACAATAACCTAAAACAGACATGAGGGCTCTCACCAACAGTTCCACACTTGCAACAGGATTGATAAACAAGCGTCAGGCAGAGGAACTCTGTAAACAGCCAAAGGTATTGTGCAACTACGCAGAAATCAGATATTTAAATAGATCAAAAAGGTGCATGGTTAGAAACCGCATTGATAAAAAAAACAAAGCAAAAGGCTTTCTTCATTCTGCAACCAAAACTTATTGGCTTGGCTAAAACCGTAAATTTAGATTCTTACTAACAACTGTAAATAATTATAGTTTGGGGCAATAATGACAAGTAGAATGTTATGAAAGAGCCATGTTTTTGTGTCATGGATTGTGGCGCACTGCAAGTTACACAACGTAAATGCCAATCTAACTCAATGTCTGTCAAACTTTGATATACACTTCTAAATGTGCATTAACAAGTAAGGAAATCACACAATTTATTTACATTATGATTTCCGTTGCTCCCACGCATAAACATACCAAACACTATACCATTTATAGTTTTACATTACATTGCCATGCTGTGATTATTGTACACAAGAGTATTGTTGTATACATTTATAGACAGCCTTGTGACTAATAATTGCTCTAAAGGGGTTATATTTTTTCTGCTACCTTTAGTTTCGTTTTTCTCTGCCGTATTTTGAAAGCACGCTTGTAAAGCAATAAAATAATTAGGACGATGCTTTAAAGACTCCAATCAGTAGTGACTCCGTTACTGCTGCTTGCACTGGTCGGCATGCGACGGCCCCTTCCAGAAGTCTTCATCATCCCTGTTAGCGGTGGAGCGTGGCGCACGTTTCTGCGGACTCAATTCTGCAGGGGAAGAGAGGCAACGTTAAGGTCACGTTATCAAGAGTCAACGGTGCCCAAGTACTGCTGGAAGAATGATGGGACCCGATACGAAAGAACAAGAGCTGCACTGCCCTCTGCTGCCCAGTCTAGCAGCCACACGAAAAAAAAGTGTGCACGGTGTTCACCCCATTAATGAACTATTCAGAATAATTTTGCTTTGCTTCCGAGACCGAGTACTTTCCGGGCAATATGCTCACAGGCTCCCTCAATTAAATATGAATATTTTTTTATTTAAAGCTTTCGTGACTGCAGTAATTCATGTTCTGAGTTCTTTCGGTAAAGTCACGTTGAAGGGAAACAATAAAATATATATAAAACAATAAAAATTCTCACGACGTTTCGACCATAACACAAACGGTCGTCTTCAGGTGTGTCGGTTTGCATAAATGTATTTATTTTTAAACGGTGTATTTATTTATTTATAAATAGAAAACGTTAGCGCCATGCGCAGCGATTTGCCAGTTTATTTACAAGGACTAGTCCATCTATGTTCTGAAAAGAGGAGGGGGGAGACGATTTTTTTTTATGTATGCCGTCTGAAAGCCACTGTAAGCGTGAACAATCAATTAAGACCTGAAATGGTTTATCAAATCTTTCCAATGATTGCCAAGCCAGAATCCATCTTCTCGGTTGAAATTGTCTCTGTGCTTGTATATGTGGATAGCCTCATGAACGAATCTCTCATGGTAGCCAGATGGCTTACAAAGAACCTCTGTGGCAGATCATTGTTATAATTCAGTAGGCTCACATGACTTCATAATAAAGGTTTTTGGGTTAGATCGATCTAACCCAAAAACCTTTATTATGAATAATATTGGTCGCGAAAGCCTACGTGTTAGGCTCACATGACATTGACTTTTCTAAGACAGAGGTTCTTTGTAAGCCATCTGGCTACCATGAGAGATTCGTTCATGAGGCTATCCACATATACAAGCACAGACACAATTTCAACCGAGAAGATGGATTCTGGCTTAGCAATCATTGGAAAGATTTGATAAACCATTTCAGGTCTTAATTGATTGTTCACGCTTACAGTGGCTTTCAGACAGCATACAAAAAAAAAAATTTCGTCTCCCCCCTCCTCTTTTCAGAACATAGATGGACTAGTCCTTCTAAATAAACTGCCAAATCACTGCGCGTGGCGCTAACGTTTTTTTAAATAAATACGTCGTTTAAAAATAAATACATTTATGCAAACCGACACACCTGAAGACGACCGTTTGTGTTATGGTCGAAACGTCGTGAGAATTTGTATTGTTATATATATTTTATTATTTTATTGTTTCCCTTCAACGTGACTTTACCGAAAGAACTAAGAATATAAATATGAATATTCATGATTATACCGTTAAGCGTCTTGTAAATATTCATTCTACAACGGACGCAGAGCATAACCAAAAAATAGAATGCTGCTACCGCATCAATTAAGCTGGCGGCTACGTCATGACCCCCAGTGCAGGTCACACACCGAGCCTGGAGTTGTCGAAGAACTGGACGTTGCTCGGCAGGGCGATCGGCGCTCCCGGCTCGAAGTACTGCTTCTTAGGTTGCGGCATCATGAGGTTCTTGCGTGGGGAGAGTGGGGCCTTGTTCTCAATGCAGGCCTTCGCTCGCTTGGTGGGTGTGCGGAGGCTGCCGGCTGGCGCGTCGGAGGCCGTTTTTGGTGCCGGTGGCAGTTGCGGCGACGGTGGCGCTGCCGCGCTGCTCTCCACCTTCTGGAGGTCCAGCTGAGACTGCAGCAACTTCACATTCTCCCTGAGCGCCTCGTTCTCCCGCTTGTACTTGGTCGCGGAGTCCTTGAGTCGCACCAGCATCGTCCTGCCGTGCGGGAATCGAGTTTCAGCGCAAGTTTATCCTTTGCGGAAATGCCGTTACTACACGTTGCTCCCATATACCCTCGATTGTAACGCACTCTTTCCCCCTGTACTTTAAACCAAAGTTGGGGTTGTCTTATCATCTGGTAAGTGTGTGTGATAAGATTCGTACAACTTTATTGACACCGAGCACAAGTTTGGGGTGTGTCTTACTTTCCAGAGCATCTTATAATCCGGAGAATATTATGGCAGGCATGTGATGACTGACTAAAATGGATTAATAAGCTTATAGTGCAAGTATCGAACTGCATGTAAGAATGTTTTTAAATACCTATACGTTACATATAATTAATGGGTTCACCCCTGCAGCTACTTGAGGTTTCCGCATTCAAATTTCCGTGGAGGGGGCGATACACTGCCAGATGAAGGTCTCCCTAGTTTATGTCAGTTAAGGGTGGTTTTTGATCATACTTTACTATGCCAATCAACGTCTTCAAGTTCAAGGTTCAAGTAAATTTTTGTATGTGGGTTCAGTGAAGGGGGCCACCCAGGACAAGTCCAGATATAATTCACCGATGTTAGCCGCACCAGGGTATTGAGACCGGATTGCCGGGATTTTAGCATAGCGCCCAAACTAACGTACCCTCCCCACTCCACCTGACACTTTAATTACAAACTTTTAAACATATTTTAAAACACTAACATGATTGATTTGCTCATCTGAGTTCTGTGATCATCATGGAGCACGCTGCATACGGCAAACACCTGGCCAAAGACAAATACCCAATTCGGCCAAGAGGCTTGTACAAACATTCCGTGCGTGGGTTGACCAGTAATCGGTAAGTGCTGCACATGACAAATCAAGCCTAGTCTGTGTTTGCCCGCAGCACATTCATTGCAGCAACCAAAAGGCAAAAAATAATTTCATTAATTGTTACAGAATTCTTTGGTCACAATTATATATTTGTTTTGCAATGTACGTAGTATCCAGGATACTCAATACATTAGAGCACTTAGCCAGCACCGCTGAGATCCTGGGTTCTAATCTGAAACAAGATTTAAAAACAGCTTTCCAACGGTCACAGCCCAGTCAATGTTATCGAAGCAATATATACAATTTGGAAAGTAATTCTGGCATGCTCGATTTGACGCGCGTGCATCTTGGGTACAAGAATAAATTTTAAATTGAATAAACTAGCAGGTGGGTTAGTGCAGGTGACGTGGGGGGGAAACCGCACCCTTCCTTGATTGACGTCAGCTTGAGTTTCAGATGCTTCAGCTCATTGTGCAGCCGCGTGTTCTCGTTCTGCAGGATGATGAGTGCCGTGGCCTGTATGACGCCGCTGCCACCACCGCAGGTGACGACGCCAGATGAGGCACCGTGACTCGGCTCTGAGACTGCAATGGATGCAGAGTGGACCGTTAGATATACACAAAGACCTCCCCCGTATAGCCTTAACAGACTGTTTGGCTCAAGTGCTGTTAGCGAGTAGCACCTATGAAGGACGGCACAGCACACAAGGGGGTGGGTGGCCAGCACCACACTCGGCCGCCTTTGTCTACCTAGTGGCAATGTTTACAAACCGCGACACCAGGTACTCATTTGAGGCTGAGTTGATCTAGAGAAGGCCCAGAATCGATTCAGAAAATTGTAACTGGTGTTGGCCATGAGCGGGAATTGAACTCCGGTCGCCGGGTTCATTGCGTAGTGAATTAACTGCTACACTACATATATACACACACATAAACAAACAAATCTTACATTGTAGGCACACTCAGGCTGTGCCGTGGTTTGTCAAACACTTTGTAGCGTGATATACCTATTGAGGGTGCTGTGATGTTCCATTGAAAACACATGGGAGGAGCGATGTTACACCGATGTCACAACGGTGCCATTAATTGCAAGCTTGACCACAAAGTTAAAGTTCTCTCATTAACATAACTCGTGTCGTACAGACCCGTTGCACAGCCTAGATTAGGCACTTAAGGACTGCCTTCGGCAAAAACAAGTGACACGGCGCGAGCCGGGACGTACAGGTGGAGTCCGCCTGCTGCCTCGCCGCACGCAGGTCCTCCTTCAGCCTCCTCAGTGTCTGCTCCTTTGCGCTCAACGTGGTCTTCAGAGACTTGACCCTACCGCGGTGACAGGGGGAGTTGTAACAAAGGTTACAGGTGAACAAGCTACATTTAAAAAAAAATTAGACGAAAAAAAAGATGGTGACGTATAATGTAATAATTTCATGTACGTGTTCAGCAAAGCGTCGCCGAGTTTCAAGAATGTTTTTTTCAGGAGGGCCCTGCACATTGAGATGTTTGAGCAATTCCATTCTTGGAATTGCTCAAACTTGGAGTGCAGCAGGAGCACAGTAGGCAACTGATAGAGGAAATCCACGCAATCTGCGAGGTGTTTGTCACTCACACTTTTGCACAAAGATGCAAGAATCCAAGGAAATCGAGTGAACACAGACGTACCAGGGCAGAGAGAGGGCATGCCAAGAGAGAGGGCATGCCAACAGAGGTGGTTTGAAGTAGTGAATCTAGAGTTATAGAGTGGACGTGGAAATGGCTCAACACAGCAATGAGTGGAGCAAGAAGACCAGGAAGGCAGACTCCACACGAGTTAGTTAGAAAAATCACAAGACAGCAACCTCACACGAAGGGACACCGCAAGCCTCATCCGGCCACTCTGATGTAGGATGAACGTGCTTACGGAGCTCAAAGCTCCCATGACATTAAAACCACTGCCAAATCAAGACCAGGTGTCTTCCTGCTCAAATAAGCATGCTCAACACCACGAGGCCAATGAGCCAGTGGTGGAAAATCCACATTACAATGACAGGGACCAGTTTAAACACAGGATAATTGGTGTGAATCTTGGCCGGGACTCACTCCTTCTCGTGAGCGCTCTCCAGCTTGTACTTCTCCAACTGCAGTTTCACGAGCTCATACTTGACATCTGCAGACTCCTTCCCGTCAGCATCCGGCTTATTTGGCTTCATGAGGACCTGCATAGAATTCAGCAACATCTTAAGTGTGCTGAAAAGATAGAAGATGCTGATGTGCGAGCTGATCACCCACATGCTTAGACACACAAAAACATAAATCATACCTCTACCAATCACATCTTTACATTGTAAATATAACATAGAATTCTTATCCGTGGTCCTGTTACCCATAAAAACTCATTATCTGCAGCCCTATTTTTCCCTATTATCCACGATTTTACCAATAATTCATAGGAATGCGGCCTCCCAGTACTCGTGGTTTTTGTGGACAAGAGGAGTCGGGTGATAAAATACTCCTACTATCCTCAATTTTCTACCCTGTGGATAAGAGAAATAAAAGTGCTTATGACTACACGGATAATAGGGTCTGCGATATTGGTTCCCCATATCACTGAGGATAGGAGGAGGAGTTCTCATGAATATGCAGATTAAAACATGGACACCGACAGACCATGATGAGATTATGTAAAGACGAAAGCAGGTTGGAGTGCTTTTTTTAAACTGGCCTTAATAATGAAATGCAGCACACCACCGTAACTAAGGAATAATGGCTTTAAGCAGCGTATGTTAACCTGGCATGACCTGGAGGCATGGACATTATCCAATAAAATTAAACACAAGCTAAACAGTCTGCAAAGCATGGAGAGATGCATGCCCGGAAATACGGAAATCGGAGCACATGGGTTAAAGACATATTGACTTAAGAGAAGTAAGTAGGCTCCAGCAGGACACTTGGCGATAAGGCATGATGGCCATTGTTTGACTAACAATGGAGTAGCAGCTGAATGATGGAACGCACCCAAGAGTACAACCACGGCAGAGATGAAGTAATAAGATCAGCTCATGTGCAGCAGTTAGATGGATTGTTATATTGCGAGACCACGAGGGCTGGCGACAACTTGAGATGGCCGTCATGCAGCAGTGGATATACGTCACGAATTCTGATGACGATGATTCACTTGCACGCGGCACGTGTGTGGAACCGTCATGACCACCGTGCCCCAGTTACCTGCAGCCGCCTTTTGAGATCGCAAAGCTGCGAGTCCCTCCTGATCACACGCTGCTCAAGCTCGCTCACGCGCGACACCATCTCCGCCATCTTCGCGCGCAACGCCACCGCTTCCTCTTTGCCGTCATTTCCGCAGGCGAGCAGCTCCTGCAGATTCTGGAAGAGGGTGAGGGTAGGTGCCAGTGGAGGGTTCCAGAAACTCACGAGGGGCAATTGGCAAGCAGGCTGAGAACCATGGCCAATTTCCAAACCTGTGTTTGGCCCCACGATTATCCGAGCACCCGTTTGGGTTCCAGGAAAGAAAATCAAAGCGGGATTTAGACCAAGAGTGTGCGGACCTTTTCCAAGCATGGGCCACATCTCAGGTTGGACAGGGGTCACGTGGAACTTTGACCGCGACATTACATTCGTGAGATTGACGTCACACGTGTGAATAAAAGTTGGTGTGGCGGCCTGTTCACCGGGTTTTTTCGTTGAGCATTGAAGTATTGCATTGCAATGATGCTGAATCATTACATTGAATTACAATCCAAAATTGTTACACACCTAGCAGCCACCACACCTTGCACAACTACACAGTAGATCTTGCACCCGTAACACACCACCATGCGAGTCAGAGCACCTAAGCTCACCTGGACCTCTTCCTTCAAAGTTTCCAGTTGCTGCTGGCTCTCCGATGTGTCGGCGCTTTGTTCGGCACGGGCAACCTGGGAGCCAAGGCGAGGAGCCTCGCTCTCCAGCATGGCGACGCGCTGCCTCAGCACGTCCGTCTGACGCTTCTCCACCGCGAGCTCGGACTGCAGGCGCTCCACCGTCTCGCCAAACGCCTTCTCGCTGCTGCCCATCGTCTCCTTGTTGAACTGCGACACAGGGGATATCACACAATCGTTCGTTTATTCTTGTATTTTCCCAAAATTAGATTTATCAACAGTAAGACAATATTCATTTGAAATTATTGCAGAAAGCAGTGCATCGCCGCATGTGTGAGAGAATGGCCTCAGAAGACATTTTTTTGCCCAGACTTCCGTGGTGCCTTCCATTGCCTCTTATCCAGTGCGCGGTGCTGCATCTTTCTTGCATGTTATACTGTACAAGTGTTTATCACATCGAATGTGATAAATATATATTCATGTCACACAGACTGGACTGGGTGGTTTGCGTGTAGCCATTGGTGACCAAGCTAAACCACTCGGACTTGAGAACCAGGTTTAGTGACGGGCATCTGAAACCCAAAATCGAACTCGCGACCATCAACAATGCCAACTCTGTGTCCCAACATCGTATTAGCTCCCTGGACCACCCGGCCACCTTAATTCGTTTTTGTGACGAGCCAGAAAATGGCTGAAAAATAAAATACGGGAAAGTGCAAAAGATTTCATCAGCCCCAGCGCCACACCGCACTCGGCTTTACCTTCAAAGACGCTTCCACCTCCGTGAGCTTCTCCTTCAGCCGTTGGAGCTCGCCCGACTCGCTCGGCCCGGCTCTTCCACCTGACATGGCAGCCTGCAGCTGCGACTCGAGGGAGGCGACGCGAGCCAGCAGCTCCTTAGTCCGATTCCTCTCCTCCTTGAGCTCCATGTCAGATTCATCGATCAGCTTCATGAAGTACTCCGACTGAAACTTCATCTCCTGCAAAGAGAGAGAACGCACGCGTTGCTGAGCTTGCTCTTCGCGCGATATTCTCTCCAGTTAATTGGGTGCGCCACGCCACCATCGCCATCGCCACTTCCTCCTCACCGTCATTGTTGCAGAAGAGCAGCCCCTGCAGCTTCTGGAGGAAGGTGAGGGTAGGGACCAGTAGAGGGTTCCAGCAAGAGGAGCAATAGCAAAGTGGGCAGGGAATGATAACCAACTTCCAAACCTGTATCTAGTGCCACGATTATCCGAGCACCCGTTTGGATTCCAGGAAAGAACATCAAGTCAGAATTTAGATCAAGAGTGTGCAACTTTTTCCAACCACGGGCCACATGTCGGACCGACAGGGCCATGTGGAACTTAAGTGACCACAACATCATGTTAGTGAAATTGGTTGGCAAACCCTCGGTTGGCAAGGGATTCCTGTATTGCATTGCAATGTTGAATAATTAAATTGAATCGCAATCCAAAATCGTCAATTAATTTAATCTAAGGCAGGGGCGTGGGTTAAATCGTTACACACCTAGCAGCCAACATATCTTTCACAACTACACAGTAGAGCTGCACCCGTAACACACCACCGTGCAAGTGAGAGCACCTAAGCTCACCTGGACCTCTTCCTTCAAAGTTTCCAGTTGCTGCTGGCTCTCCGATGTGTCGACGCTCTGTTCGGCATGGGCGACCTGCAGCTGGGAGTTAAGGTGAGGAGCCTCGCTCTCCAGCACGGCGACGCGCTGCCTCAGCACGTCCGTCTGACGCTTCTCCACCGCGAGCTCGGACTGCAGGCGCTCCACCGTCTCGCCAAACGCCTTCTCGCTGCTGCCCATCGTCTCCTTGTTGAACTGAGACACAGGGGATATCACACAATCGTTTGTTTATTGTTGTCTTTTCCCAAAATTAGATTTGTAAACAGAAATCAGTGCATCACAGCACATGACAGAATGGCATCAGAAGATAACACTGCAAACTTCCAAGATGCCTGTTGCCTCTCACATGTTATACTATATGGGTGTTTATCACACTAAAAATAAAACACATTTTTCATCCTCAAGGCCTGAATGTCATATTACCACACGGACTTGACTGGGGATTTGTTTGTGTAGCCATTGGCAACTGAGCTAAAGCACTCGGACCAGGTTTAGTCATGGGTGTCAGAAACCTATAATTGAACCCACAACCTCAACAGCGTCAACTCGGTGTCCCAACATCGTATTAGCTCCCCGAATCCCCCGGCCACCTAAATTATGTTTTGTGAAAAGCACGAACCGACTGAAAAGCAAAATACGAGAAAGTGCAAGAGATTTCAGCAGCGCCACTCCACACTCGGCCTTACCTTCAAAGATGCCTCCACCTCCGTGAGCTTCTCCTTCAGCTGTTGGAGCTCGCTCGAGCCACTCGGTCCGGCTAACCCGCCTGCCGTGGCCGCCTCCAGCTGCGACTCGAGGGAGGCGACGCGAGCCAGCAGCTCCTGAGTCCGATTCCTCTCCTCCTTGAGCTCCATGTCAGATTCATCGATCAGCTTCATGAAGTACTCCGACTGCAACGTCATCAAATTCAGCTCCTGCAAAGAGAGAACGCACGCGCTGCTGAAGCTCGCTCTCGTGCGATATCATCTCCTACCATCTGGGTACGCGATGCCACACCCAAACTAGCAGAATAATGCCCGCTCGTAGGTCAGGTGTTGAGTCACATTGTGGCGCACAGGGACAGCTGCCACTGCGGGTGCAGTTTTGAACGTTTGATATGGGATTTAATATTAGCACTCTTGTGATGCCCTGGCACACATAACGAGCGTATTATCAAGAATAAATCATTATTATTATTAACAACACAAATAAGCAATTTCTCCACACATCCATCTCTCCATCATAGAAAAGTAGTTCTTACACAAAGCATCGGCAGCACAACCTTGTGGGAGTGGATACATATCAGCATCATTGTTTCAAGACGAGCAGACTTTGGACCGTTATGAAATCGCGTCTCATCGGCAGTAAGGCCTGCTTGAATCAATGCTGCTCAACTGCCAATGCTATGGGGTCCCAGTTTGATGTAAAATGATATAATAATAATAATCATTATCATTACCTCAACATGGTGGGCTGCTTCAGCAATGAAATTGTTGTTCTTTTCCTGGGCGAGCGCCAGCTGCTGCTCGAGCTCCACAACCTGTCGGCTCAGCACCTGCACCTCGTCCCGCAAGCCCTCGCTGCTGTGGTGCGCTGCACGGAGCTCCTCCACCAGTGCCGAATGGCGCTGCTCCTCGTCCAACGTGCGCCGCTGCTCCTGCGACAGAGAGCCCTGCAGCTGCTCCACCAGCGCCTCCCGCGAGGACAGGTCGGCAGACAGCTTCGCGCAGCGGCCGTTCAGGTCCGACATGCGTGCGCTTAGGTCCTGGATTATCGCCGCCCCCCCCCCCCCCCACCGCCACACACACGCGCACAGCCAACAAGCGAGCGGTCAAACCTCGGAACCCATTAGAGGCTTCACTTATACCCCTCTGCCATTAGCACATCCGAGCTGAGCGAGCTTGTGGCTCTCACAGTACGGGTGGTTTTCCACCGGCTATTTTCCGTACCGAGCTGGAACCAAACTGTGATATGCTGGACTCAAGACATCTGAATTTAGCTCTGGGCCAAGCAGCGTCATTTGCCAGGACAAATGACGCATTCAGAGCGTGTAACGTCAGAGATACGGCTTGCCTTAAGCAGCAAAAAAAAACCTGGTATTTCCTGGTCCCTGGCACGGCTAGGTTATACAGGGGAAAACTGATATAAGATCTCAGAGGAAAAGCAGGATTAATCCTAGTTAACACATTTATAGAAGGTTGACTGGGAATATCACGTGTTGTAGGCATGAGCTGTAAGGTGGCCAATGGATGTTTTTTATACACATCTGCAGAGTTTTGAGCATTATGCTCTTAGGTGTGGCATTTCACTCAAGTCTTGGATGAGGGCATACCAAAAACGATCGAGAGTTAAACCGTATTATTGAAATCCCTGAAGGGTATGATTCAACTGCATCAGGTGACGGTGTTCCCAAGATAATACTGAATTGCATCACAATTCACCACGGGTCCCACCTGTTCAGACACCTGTGCCTCTGTCAGTTGTTTCTGCAGCCACACCACCTTGGTGGACTTCTCCTGAAGGGCCTTCTCCATGTCCTTGTGCTGCATCTCTGAGGCTTTCATCTTCTCCTGCAGCTCAAACAGCTCCCCTTGAATTTGCATGGCCTAAAAAAAAACACATGCACACACGATGATATGAACACGAGTCGAATGTCACTCAGAGCCACGGCTCTACTCTGGAGGCAATGCCTTTCATTCTAACAATGTGGAGGATCTGACCATCTCTCACATGCCAAACATTAAATGGTATTGGCCCAACATGCCAAGAATGCAGGACCCTTCTGAAATAGTTTTAGGACTCGAGACTTTCCTGGATAAATAAATGTCACTATTAATACGTCCTATAGAATGGCTATTGCCAAGAAGACGCTGCCTATAATATACGTTTTTCTGTATAAGGCCAGTGTGATAATGAATGTGAGTTTTTGTTCTTCTTACTTGTTCTTGTGCACAATGCAGCATGACCAAATCATATATTGCTCTTAAAAACCCTGCTTGGTAAAATAAACAATGACAGGTGATAGTGTCACCTTAAAACACTTTTATTGAAGGCAAAGGGAAACCACCTGATCTATTTTTCCCTAGCTATGGCCCTCCAATAGAGTGTGTTGATACAAAGTGTATGGGGTTCGAGGGGGGCAGGGCGAGGATATTGAGCCGTGGTCCTGCCCTTTGGCCGAAAACTTACGAGAGATTATTGACGACACCGATTATGCTGCACCACCATGGACTCTACCTGTCCAGATGATTGTGCTTCCATCAGCCGTTTCTGCATCCTCATAACTTCAGTGGACTTCTCCTGAAGGGCCTTCTCCATGTCCTTCTGCTGCATCTGTGAAGCCTTCAGCTTTGCCTGCAGCTCCAACAGCTCCGCTTGAATTTGGATGGCCTGAACACACACACACAAGCAATGCGAAGAGAAAATCCGTTCAAGAAAATGGGACGCCATGAGCCAAGACCTTTCTTCAGACAGTCCTGGCCTGGATGTCTGGCTGATTCTTAAATCATTATTTTGTGCACCTCGAAGAAAACCATGTTGGCAAGATTAAAAACAAAATGTGCACACACGAGACTAATGAAGGTAGCTCTACATTGATTCATATTGATTCTTAATGCACCGATTCTTACACTCAAATCATGTGTGCAAAAATCCACCAAGTTTGATTCATGTGTGTACAGGATTTGTGAGGAACACAATCACAGGCTGACATACAGCTGGCCCAACAGCAGAACACGCGTTTCTTTAGACCGATACACCTGGTGAAACGCTACAGGCCGCCGTGCCACCATAAAATAAAGTGCTGGTCTTACGCTGTCGACATTATCCTGGAGATCGCTTTGTATCTCATCCCTCTCCGCGATGACCCTCTCGAGGCTCAGCTGCACGGCCGCCTTCTCCTCGGCCAATATGCCCAGCTGCTCATTCAACACTGCCACCTCCCGCGAGAGCCGGCCGTGTTCCTCTCGCGCGCCCGCCTCCTGGCTGAGCAGCGCACTTTCCAGCAAGCCCTTCTCCGCCAGCAGGCTTTCCCTCTCTGCAACCAGCGTATCCACCCTGGCCGACAGTTCGTCCCTTTGCAGGGTGAAACAGCGCACCCTTTCTTTCATGTCCGAAAGCTGCTCTGTCACCGTGCTCAAGGCGCCGGTGGCATCCCGGTGCTCAACGCTGCTCGCCAGAGACGATTGGGAGAGCTCGGCTTTCCTGCAAGCCAATTCCTCGGCAAGGCAAAGCTCTTGCTGCCGAGCGAGCTCCTTCTCCGTGGCGACGTTCTCCTTCTCCAATGCCAGCTCATCATCTCGAGCCAATGCCCTTCGCTGTAGGTCGACCTTCTCCCGCACCGCCGTCTCCAGGTTTGCCGCCAGTTGGTCCCTCTCGGCCGTCGCGAGGCTGAGTTTCTCGTTCAGCTCGGATGTCTGCAGAGAGCGACGGTCATGAATTGAGATGAAGCCAGGTAATCAGCTACTTATCAATGCCAATCGTGAAAAGCCAACGAAAAATTAAAAGTAGACCTGGCAAAGCACCAGACGTACGAGTGTTAGGGTCAATGGGGGGCTGGTACTAGTGGCTAACTAAATAATTTTATAGGGCTACAACCACGTGACCAATTGATGGGAAGCTAGCAGTGGCTGTGGTACAATATACTCATACCCCGCCATGGGGGTGTGCAATGTTTTAGGTGGGCTTGTGTCACCTCTTGCATCAAGGTGGCACGTTCATGAGCAGTGATGTCGGCTTTGTCGGGGCGGGAGGCCTCCGTTTGCATTTGGTCCCTCTCCATCATCGATTGCAGGCGAGCCTTCACCTCCTGCAGCTGCTTCTCCAGCTCATAGCGCGTCTGAAGATCTAGTAGAGGGTAAAATATAAACATGAGAATGACGCCACATTATGGGATGGAGGGGAGAGTACCTCGGTAACACTGGGTCCCCCACGCCTGAACGATCAGTTGCACAACCAAATTCCTCTAAAAATTGCACAACTTTATCATCGCCTGCAACTGCTTTGTCCACATATGAATGAGGCGTGGGGTGGCGAGGAAATTAAAGAGGGAATTTAAGACTGTAACAACCAATCAGAGTTGCGCAAATGTGCATGTTGTGATCAAATACGTCGCTGTAAATTGATAAACGGATCGCTTGAAGGTAAGGTCCCCATCTCTCCTGTAAGCAACCCATTGTGCAACTGGTTGCCAACACACTCACATATCAACCGAGATGTGGGCTTTGGATTAAGCACCCGGACAAGTTTCCTCCCCCCACCACTGTAACTACTCGACTGAAGGTGGCAGACAAAAAAGAATCCCTTCTGGCGTTGCCGTATGTCACCTTTGGGCACTTTGCCGTCGAGGAGCTGCGAGAGGCGGGTGTGGTCGGCATAGATGCTGCGCAGCTCGCGCTGTAGGTCCATCTCCATGCTGCAGTAGCGCACTTTCTCCTGCTCGAGCGATGAGCGGCAGCCCTCCGCCTCCCTCGTCAGAGCCTGCAGTCTCACCTGGATGTCCGCCTGCGAGACAGTGAGACACAGAGACGATTGGGAGTCACGACGAAGATGATGTTTTAAGGAAACTCGGCGGTGATCTCTGTAGTCAGATGTAATATTCAGTGTACATTATTTTTTGTGTTTTTATTTGAGCGGTCTATTATTCAATTAAATATTCAACAAACAAACAAAAATAGCTTACTTGTAGCTATGTCCTGTATCTAGACTGCATCCCAGGCTGGTCTTTTACGTTCCATGCCACTGCCAATTGGTCCAATGTTATTCATAACATTTATCAATTTTCTTTGGGCCATGGAGCGTGCTGGAGATTAAGTTAAGGGTGGGCACTAAATGCTCACCTCTGCAATCATACTTCCTCCGCCCTCTACCCATAAACCTCACTCTCTTTTCTGCACTCGAGCGAGTTGCAGCTTAGACTAGAGCTATAAGTGTTAAGCGTTAACAGTTTTACATTGTATTGACACATCCAGAGCATCAAACAAGCAAGAAACGGCATGTCTATCTTTTCTTCGCCTTTTCAGTGTGTTTGGTAAATTGTGCGTCCAGCTCTGTACCATCTGCTCCTTGAGGCTGAGGTTTTCCGTGCGAAGTATGGCGGCCTGCTTGGTGCTGTCCTTTGTCACGGTTTCCGCGTCCTCCAGTGACTTCCGCAGCGTCTTCACGTGCTCCCTAAGCTCCTGCGCATCCGAACCCTGAAAGAGGAGAAGACGAAGAGAGAGAGAGAGAGAGCAAGGTTGACGCAATTTTAAGATCAAGCAAGCCAGCGCCATCACAATGGTGCACGCCCGGGGGGGGGGGGGGGGGGGGGGGGGGGGGGGGGGGGGGCAAGGAGGTAGCGGGGAGGGGTGGGGCACAGCTGAAGTAGATGATGAAACAAAGATAATGACTTACCTTTGGCATGTCGTTCTCCCACCGCTGCTGCTTGGACATCGCTTCGGTCATTTGGAACATCTCTTCCTGCAGCCTACGCATCTCCTCCTCCTTGCAGCGCAGCTCCTGCAACGTCCTCTTCAGGTCAGCCTGTGCAAGAGGGAGGATACACTGTGGTGCCAAACTGCTGCGGTATGCCAGCGCTCTCCGATATTCCTTCGACTGGTGCTTCTTGAGCAGTAGATAAATTCTACAACTTCAGTGCAGTTAATTGCCTACGATAAGATTGTATCTCTTGGATTGCACTTAAATTCCAGTGTTTTGATAATTTTAGACCAACAAAAAACATAGGCTGATGACCCAGCAGGTCTCCCAATAAGATGGGAGTTCATGACTCATGCCAGTAATTGAGTAAAAAGAGGGAGGAGTTTGTATTAAATTCCCAAAAAAATATAAACAAGCAAATCCAATGATTAACGTAATTACTTGCAATTCGTCCTTTCAAGTGTCACGGCTAAAATGTCTGCAGTTCGATACAACCAACCCAGGGGTTGCACATTTTTTTTTGCTTCATTATTATTATTTTAACATGATGCTTGTTTACCCAGGAAAGCCTCACTGAGTCACAAGACTCTTTCAGGAGGGTCCTGCCAAGTTTTTGCAGTAGGAGGCAATGTTGCTATGTGCAATCCTAATTTGCACGTAATCTTTAGGTTTGGAGATGTTAAGCGAATATCAGTTTCAAGGCATCGTTTTTAGCTGTGGGAGAAAACTGGAAAAGCTAGAGGAAAACCCATGCAGAAAAGAGGAAGAACATACTAACTCCACATAAAAGGGTGCACGAGTCGGAAATCATTCACAGGGCCTTCATCTTCTTGCTGTGAGGCCCGAGTGTTACCATTGTGCCACCCTGGGTTTAAAGTATCATAACCCATGCAGCACAAGCTGGATGCATACATCACTGTGGTGTCGGCTCTTTTTCTGCAAAAGGTGCCCATACCTCCAACTCCTGGTTGTATTCCACCCCTTGCTGCACAAGTTTATTGAGCTGCTCAAATTCATGCATCAGCTGCGCCTGCAGAAAAATAATCCATTTTATGAAACGTTTACAAAACGGAGTCGCGTGTGAGAACCATACATTGATATCCGAAGAACCTACATATAGACTACGTGACAACGGAATCAAGTCGTGCCCACAATTTGAAGACCTGCCTATTTCATCCTTATAATTGTAATGAAATGGAAGTTTATTTGAACTGTGTGAACAATTCAGGAAAAACGATTGAAGGACGTAATTTTCGTCACTGCCATTGCGTTCACCGCAAATGCCTTACCTCATGCTCAGTCTTCTTTTCCAGATTTTCAAACTCTTGTAGTTCCTGCAGGTCCTGAAGCTCAACCTTCTTGGTTCTCAGGTCCTCTTGGAGCTTCTCGACCAAATTAACTCTAGCCTCAAGCTGCGCCTCCAGCTCTTTCTGCCACGCATCGTAGCGAACAAAAAAAAACACACGCGGAGTTCACAATGCGATACCAAAGAACGTCGCTCGTTTGTTAAGAGCCGAAGTCTCAGTGCTGAACATGAGCGCCGTGTGAGCCACTAACCAGGTGAGAACCCATCAAGACTTCGAAGTTTATTTTTTAAGTGACACCTTGGGTCGACAAGTGTCATAAAAAACAAATGTTACATCACGTGGGGCAGGGTTCTTTAACTGGCAGCTCACAGGCCAAAGGCTCTTTGGAATGGCTGTCTGAGCTTTGGCGCACCGAGATATACGGCTCAGGCAGACAAAGGGATACAGATTAGGACAAGCTTTAAAGATGCGAAAGCTCTTGACAAGAAATTAAGATTTGTGAGATCAAAGTGATAATAAAAATAAAAAAGAAGCAAGACGTACAGATGAATGGTGACATGTACAGGCATTCTTACATCACGATGTCACTTTACACAGTAATTGTGCACAACATGACATAATGAGGCCTACCGGCAAGTGCTCATTTTATTATATGGCCCTATGGAAATTATAGTTTAAGATCCCTGACACAAGGGTGATGGTGGTCTAACATCACAGAGCAAATATAAGCAATGCTTACCTTCTCCAGCAGCAGACTCTCGCACAGCTGGATGCTCTCCAGCAGCTGATTCTGTAAGTGCTCCTCCTGGTTCTGACCGGCAAAAAAACAAAGGCAGGTGTTCCCTTTTGTCAGATTGTTTGCAAAAACAATTACTATCCCCGATTAGCACGGTTGGCTACGTACAGTGCGAAAGACGTTGAAGATACATACGACAATGGGGGAAAATGGGCAGGACGATTTGTTTTAGCTGTTTTGTGAAGGTATGAACATGGCCATTGCTTAAATAGTTTTACACTAATAACCCACCTAAGTCGGCAAATGTTTCTCTTTCCCAAATTAATGAGGGAGTATAACACCACTCACACATAGTACCATAGTTTATTTCCGTCGTTGCTTTGGGCCCACACCGTGTCCTTATCAAACAGATTATGAAAATTGCCTAAATAAATATAACCTTTAAAATAAATTGCTGTCGTGCTATGTGTGACCTACAGTTAACAAGTGTCACCTCCAATTAATTTATTATGCGGCCTAACTATATGAAGTATGTTGTTATGCAATTGGTTCACATAAATGATGCAGCTCAAGGGGTCCCACTGCTGACACATCCCACGTAAGAATCATCATCGCAGCTCTAGAGTACTGCAAGGACCAGGACCCACCAAGTGCTTGTGACTGCTCCGTCTACGCTCGTTCTGCACCCGGACAAACTTCTCCTTCAGCTCCTCGAGCGAGCGCCGCAGCTCATCGCTTTCAGCGTTACGCTCCTCCATTAGGCTGAGCATTACAAAACAAAACAACACAACAAATGATGGGACACGTATAAACGGAGAAACATTCGCCATGTAACGATGCACCAATTAAATTAAATTCTAACGCTTACGATAAATAGGTTGAATCGCACGGGTAAAATTCAATTAGCTACGATTCGTAGATGTTCCCTTAAGCCCTGCAGCTCCCAGACATTCTACACAGAGCACCATGTCAACAAATTAATCTATTCTTGGATCGAATTGTGAATCGTGACAATTCATTGAATCACGAAAGCAAAAAATATTTACTTGATTATGTGGAAAATATAAGTCTAGGAAATGATGAGCGGGTTTAATGCGAGTAAATTTAAAGCCGATAAGCATGTGCAAATGTTAAAACCCTACAGCGCATTCGAATTTGATTGGTTGTTTGACAAACCATTATATACAAAATACATGTTAAAAAAACCTTAATTCAACAGTGCAGTTGAATTAAGGGCTTGTTTGACCATAATTTATCACACTGTTAAGTGTGGGTTGCTGTACATTGGTAGACCCATCATTGAATTAATTTTTTTTTCTACCTGCAGTTATCGATATTGCAAAAAAGTAAATTAACATCCCGAGTTGGCAGCTGAACCTAAACTGCCTCAAATGGACTCACGTGCTCACGACCGACGCATCGTGGGAGCCAACGTCTCCTTCGTCGCACACCAACAGCTGCTCGTCCTCGAGCAGTGGAATATTGCTGCCAAGTTCCACCATGTCCCCACTGGATCTCCCTATTCCGCTGTCGCGCATGGAGTCGCGCGAATATATACGTCCTGCCTCGGCTGGCAGCAGGCTCTTCCCCACGAATGGATCCTCTTCCTCCTCCCTGGCATCATCTGTGGTATCGCCGCAGCCCAGCAGTGCTTGCATGCGTGCCCTTTTGCCCTCCAGGGTGCTGAGTGCCGATCTCATCTGCTCGAGTTCCAGCGTAACGTGCGACTGCACTTCCAGCTGGGTATTAGCAGACTCCAGGCAGCTCTGCAAGCGCGCCGACTCCACCACTGCCATCTCCAACTTTGATCGGAGCGAAGATGTCTCTTCGGAGGCAAAGGACAACTGCTCATACTGAGATTTGGTAAAATCCAGCTGGGATTTCAGCTCTTCCCGTTCAGTCTGTAGCGCCTCCAGTGCAGCCTTTAGAGATACAATTTCATCAGAAGTGGTGGATAAGAGATCTTTCGGAGTTTGAAGGGAGTCAATGAGAGCTTGTAGCTCACGGTTACGGTCCTTCATTGCTGACATTTCCTTGTTATGAGAGTGCTCCTGTTGTAGAATTTCATTCTCATTTTGGATAACCTGAAGTAGAATTTTCAGATCAGCAAGTTCATCAGAAGCTGCCGAGAGCTGTTCACACTGTCGCCGAAGCAAATCGAACTGCAATTCTAACTGCTCCTTTTCATCTTGAAGCGCTTGTAGTTTAAGCTTTAGGGTTGCCAATTCATCTGTGGCAGAGGACCACTGATCTTGCTGTGTTTTAGCAGAATCTAATTGCACTTGAAGGTCAGCTTTTTCACCTTCAACTAGCTCTAGTCTTTCTTTCAGTGCAGAAATTTCTTCAGCAGTCTTTGCCAATTCATCACCGAGTTCCTGAGAATGTGTTGAAGAGTTTAGTTTTGTTTGGAGCAGTTCCTTTTCTTCCTCTAGCACCCGAAGCTTGGTCTTCAGACCAGCATTCTCAATTTGGATAACCTGAAGCTTAGTCTTCAGATCAGCAAGTTCATCAGAGGCTGCCGAGAGCTGCTCGCACTGCAGTCCAAGTGACTCAAACTGCAATTCTAACTGATTCTTCTCATCTTGCAGCGCTTGTAGTTTAAGCTTTAGGGTTGCCAATTCATCTGTGGCAGAGGACCACTGCTCTTGCTGTGTTTTAGCAGAATCTAATTGCACTTGCAGTTCACCTTTTTCACCTTCAACTAGCTCTAGTCTTTCTTTCAGTGCAGAAATTTCTGCAGCAGTCTTTGCCAATTTCTCACTGAGATCCTGAGAATGTGTTGAAGAGTTCAGATGTGTTTGGAGAAGTTCCTCTTTCGCCTCCACCAACATTTGAAGCTTGGTCTTCAGATCAGAATTCTCAATTTGGATAACTTGAAGTTTAGTCTTCAGATCAGCAAGTTCATCAGAGGTTGCCGAGAGCTGTTCACACTGCAGACGAAGCGAATCCGACCAAGATTCTAACTGATCCTTCTTATCTTGCAGTTCCTGAAAATTGTGCTTCAGGGTTGACATTTCATCAGCCCACTCAGCATGCTGTGCTTCAGCAGAATCTAACTGCAATTGCAATTCACTCCTTTCAAGTTCCACAAGCTGCAATTTTTCTGTTAATGCAGGAATTTTATCGGCAGTCTCTGAGGATTTATCACCAAATTCTTGAGAATGTGTTGAAGAGTTTAGTTGTGTTTGGAGCAGTTCCTTTTCCTCCTCTAGCACCCGAAGCCTGGTCTTCAGATCAGCATTCTCAATTTCGATAACCTGAAGTTTAGTCTTCAAATCAGCAAGTTCAGAGGCTGCCGAGAGCTGCTCGCACTGCAGTCCAAGTGAATCAAACTGCAATTCTAACTGCTCCTTCTCATCTTGAAGCGCTTGTAGTTTAAGCTTTAGGGTTGCCAATTCATCTGTGGCAGAGGACCACTGCTCTTGCTGTGTTTTAGCAGAATCTAATTGCACTTGCAGTTCACCTTTTTCACCTTCAACTAGCTCTAGTCTTTCTTTCAGTGCAGAAATTTCTGCAGCAGTCTTTGCCAATTCATCACCGAGTTCCTGAGAATGTGTTGAAGAGTTCAGCTGTGTTTGGAGAAGTTCCTCTTTCGCCTCCACCAACATTTGAAGCCTGGTCTTCAGATCAGAATTCTCAATTTGGATAACCTGAAGTTTAGTCTTCAGATCAGCAAGTTCATCAGAGGTTGCCGAGAGCTGTTCACACTGCAGACGAAGAGAATCCGACCAAGATTCTAACTGATCCTTCTTATCTTGCAGTTCCTGAAAATTGTGCTTCAGGGTTGACATTTCATCAGCCCACTCAGCATGCTGTGCTTTAGCAGAATCTAACTGCAATTGCAATTCACTCCTTTCAAGTTCCACAAGCTGCAATTTTTCTGTTAATGCAGGAATTTTATCGGCAGTCTCTGAGGATTTATCACCAAGTTCTTGAGAATGTGTTGAAGAGTTTAGTTGTGTTTGGAGCAGTTCCTTTTCCTCCTCTAGCACCCGAAGCCTGGTCTTCAGATCAGCATTCTCAATTTCGATAACCTGAAGTTTAGTCTTCAGATCAGCAAGTTCAGAGACTGCCGAGAGCTGCTCGCACTGCAGTCCAAGTGAATCAAACTGCAATTGTAACTGCTCCTTCTCATCTTGAAGCGCTTGTAGTTTAAGCTTTAGGGTTGCCAATTCATCTGTGGCAGAGGACCACTGCTCTTGCTGTGTTTTAGCAGAATCTAATTGCACTTGCAGTTCACCTTTTTCACCTTCAACTAGCTCTAGTCTTTCTTTCAGTGCAGAAATTTCTTCAGCAGTCTTTGCCAATTCATCACCAAGTTCCTGAGAATGTGTTGAAGAGTTTAGTTTTGTTTGGAGCAGTTCCTTTTCTTCCTCTAGCACCCGAAGCTTGGTCTTCAGATCAGCATTCTCAATTTGGATAACCTGAAGTTTAGTCTTCAGATCAGCAAGTTCAGAGGCTGCCGAGAGCTGCTCGCACTGCAGTCCAAGTGAATCAAACTGCAATTGTAACTGCTCCTTCTCATCTTGAAGCGCTTGTAGTTTAAGCTTTAGGGTTGCCAATTCATCTGTGGCAGAGGACCACTGCTCTTGCTGTGTTTTAGCAGAATCTAATTGCACTTGCAGTTCACCTTTTTCACCTTCAACTAGCTCTAGTCTTTCTTTCAGTGCAGAAATTTCTGCAGCAGTCTTTGCCAATTCATCACTGAGTTCCTGAGAATGTGTTGAAGAGTTCAGCTGTGTCTGGAGAAGTTCCTCTTTCGCCTCCACCAACATTTGAAGCCTGGTCTTCAGATCAGAATTCTCAATTTGGATAACCTGAAGTTTAGTCTTCAGATCAGCAAGTTCATCAGAGGTTGCCGAGAGCTGTTCACACTGCAGACGAAGCGAATCCGACCAAGATTCTAACTGATCCTTCTTATCTTGCAGTTCCTGAAAATTGTGCTTCAGGGTTGACATTTCATCAGCCCACTCAGCATGCTGTGCTTTAGCAGAATTTAACTGCAATTGCAATTCACGCCTTTCAAGTTCCATAAGCTCTAATGTTTCTGTCAATGCAGAAATTTTATCAGCATTCTCTGATGATTTATCATTAAGTGCTTGAGAATGTGTTGAGTTCAGTTGTGTTTGAAGCAGTTCCTTTTCCTCCTCTAGTACCCCAAGTCTGGTCTTCAGATCACGAAGTTCATCAGGGGCTGAAGAAAGCTGCTCACACTGCAATTGAAGAGAATATAATTGGCATTGCATCTGTTCCCTTTCACCTTGTAGCTCTTGAAGTTGAACCTTAAGGAAAACTTCATCCGAGGAAGCTGACAGCTGAGCACGTTTCACTCCATCAGAATTGCCACATGACTGCACCATTACATTTTCTTCTACAATCTTGTGAAGCCTGCTCTTGAGATCGGAAACTTCATTAGATCTACCAGACAGTTGCTGACACTGCACATCACAGGACTCAAACTGCAACCGCAACGCTTCATTTTGATCCTGCAGCTCTTGGAGTTTGACCTTCAGAGATATCATCTCTGTTTCAGCAGACAGCTCCTCACCCCTTTTTCCGTCAGAGTCAAGCAGTATCTGCAGCGCTCTCTTTTCATGTTCGAGCACATTAATCTTTTCCTCCAGCATGGAAGCCTCCTGAGCACCCTTCAGATAACGGTCACCTTGTTCTTTAGCAAGGGAGTCAATTTGCAACTGTAGAGACTCCTTTTCATCTTGTGTCATTGCAAACCGAACCTTCAGATCAGCGAGCTCATCCGAAATACTAGACAGCCGCTCGCAGCGCAGCACAGCATCCTCAAATTGGGACTGCAAAGCCTCCTTCTCTTCCTGAAGCAGCTGTAGTTCGCTATTGAGGGCAGTGATGTTCGAAGCAGTGGAGAGTTCATCACTCTGAGTTTGTAAAGAATCCACTCGCACTTGCAGCTCTTGTTTTTCAATTTGGATTGATGAAAGTTTTTCGTTCAGCATCAAAATGGTCTCCATTGCCGTTGAAAGTTTGTCATCAAGCACACCTGCAGAATTGACATGGTCGCGTAATTGGGCATTCTCATGGTCCACTTCCTGAAGTTTGGCTTGGACAGAGACAAGGGTAATGGACATCTCCTCATTCTGCAATCTGGCGGATTCTAACTCGGACTCCACCACTCGCATTCTTCCAGCATTGTCATCGGCAGCATTTGAGAGTGCTTCGCATTCTGCCTGGACATGCTCTATTTGTGCTTGCAAGTTCGCCTTCTCCTCCTCCAGTGTCCTCAGTTTGGCTTCCAGATTGACATCTGCTTCATTGGATACCTCCACATGATCGCTCTCAGCAGCATGGGCCAGCAGAGCTTCCAGTTTTTTGCGCACACACTCATTTTCCTCCTCCATCGTATTCATCCTTTCATTCTCACTGCTACTCAATTTATACTGATTCACAGACTCCTCATTCAGCGCATCCAAGATCATCTGCAGGTTCTCAATCTCTTTTTCCGCAGATTTGAGCTGCTTCTTAATCGTTGTGGCCTCATCTGAGATGGACCCGAGCTCTCTCGTCTTTGTGTCTAGTGCGGCCTCCAGTCGACATTTCTCCTCCTCCAGTATGGGCACCCTGGCTAGCAGCTCAGCCACGCTGTCACTCATTTCCTCCTCTGGCTTCTCAGGAGCAGGCAGCAGCAGTGCAAGCAAAGACTTGTTTTCCTCCTCCAAACTGGCAAGCTTTCCACGCAGGCTCTCCAGTTCCACTTCGGCCAAATTCTCCGGTATGATGCTGCAAGTGTCGGCCGCCTGCTGTGGGTTGAGGAGCCTGTAATCGCACTCATCGAACGACAGCTCCATTTTAGCAATCAATTTCGATGACCTGCGTGTCGACCGGCGCTCTTCAGCCCTTTTCCGAGAACCTTGGCTGACCGGCTCTTGGGCAGGCCTGGACATTAAAGTTGTCCCTTGGATATCCATTTTTAGTTCATAATTTTCTTCGGTTAATTTTTCAACGCTGTCCTTGAGGAGTGACACTTGTTGCTGAGCTTCTTCAACAGAGTGTTGGAGTGTAATATTCGTTTCAGAGTAACCCTTGCTTTCCTCCACAAGGCGACTGTTATCGTCATCAAACTCTCTCACTTGCTGCTGAAGAGCAGCAATTTCAGTCACCAATGTTTTATTATTGCATATTTCTCTCTCGTATTCAAGTGACATCTTCACAACCTTATCCTGAAGGTCTTGGTTCTCACTTTCCAGTTTCGTCTGCAAAGATCTATTCTCCTCCAAAACACCAGCAAGGGTGTCCAACTCACTAGATTTTTCCCTTAGTTTGCTCTGCAGCATTTCGCACTGCGTCTCCAAAGAACTCAGCTGAGCCACTGCGTCAGAGGCTTCCATTTCAGGATGGGAGTCACCAGCTTGCTCTTTTGATTTACGTGCAATCTGCAGCTCCTCTCCCAGCTGTTCCATTCCCTTCCTGAGGGAAGCCAATTGCAATTCCAGTTGTATTCTCTCATCCATTGAAGACGACGCCCACTGGTCAAGCTCTTCACTCTTTTGCTCGAGCAGGCCTTTCAGATGCTCCAATTCAGCTTTGGCTGCATCACTGCTCAACTGCAAAGTGGATATTTCCTCAGCAGAGGCCTTCGCAGACTGCTCCACTTTCTGTAGGTTCAGCTCTTTCAATGCCAATTCAGTAGCAAGGTCCTGGTTGATTATTTGCATTTCCGTCACTTGGTCGTTGAGGCCAGTCAGCCTTTCTTCCAGTAGCTGCACAGCAGTGGGTCCGTCTTCATCATGCTGGGCGATCCCATCCTCATTCTCTCGTAGCTTCATCCGCAGGGAAGAGAGTTCCTCATCGAGAGATTTCAAAGAGGTGTTTGCTTCAACAAGGTCTCTATTCTTAGCATGAAGCTCGTCGTTAAGTTCCGAGTTCTGCTCCTCCATTGCCGACAGCCTGAACTGACAGTCAAGCAACCGAGATGATGCTTCTGCACATTCTGCCTGCGCCTTCTCCACCTCTTTGCCCATCGTCTCCCATTCCAGTTTCAAGCAGGTGTTCTCCTCTGCTAGAAGAGCATTAGCAGGGCTATCATTTGGAGCCTCACATGAAGAGTCCAGCACTTCTTTACCTTCAGGTGAACGATTTTCCACTAGCTCTCGGAGCTTGGCATTTTCAGTTTTCAGATGCGACAGGCCACTCTGCAGATTTGAAATCTCCTCCAGGTACTGCGCGATGTTTTCCGCCTCCATTGCAGCATCCCTAAGTCTGCTGTTCTCCTTTTCGCATGCAGCAACTCTCCCCTTCAAGGCTGAAATCTGCTCCTCGTAATCCTGCACATTCAGCTGTAAAGCAAGGGGGGCAGCATTTGGATCGTTCTCGTCTTTTGTTGAATTAAAGTGTTGCCCGCTTGCGCCATTTGAAGCGACCAAGTGGTCTGACGGAGCTCCAGCCGTTTCCAGCGGAGAGTCATGCGCGCCGGTTTCTACGCGCTGCCTCTCTGCCTCCATTTCCTTCAGCTTCGCCTCGAGGGTGGCAAGTTCCTGGCGTAGCTCGTCCCTGTCATCAAGGATGGCCATGAATTGTCCGTTCTTTTCCGCCTCCTTCAGGCGAGCATCCTGCAGCTCCTCCTCCAGCTCACTGACCTGGACCGGGGACCACACAGCAGTAGGGTCGACAGAAAGCACCATCTGGTCATACATGCGACTCCACGTGATACTTGTTATTCCCTGTTTTTCAACGAGTTTTTTTTTTCATAACAATATTTCAACAATGCTGTCAGCATCATATGAAACAAATTCCATTTGAAACTCTGTAGGTGGCTGCTCATCACCCACTGGCCTAGAAAGATGACACCACTAATCCTGAAAGGACTTCATTAGACCTATTAATCCACACAAGAGGAATGCCCTATAATTCACGACAAATATTGAAAAAAGTAATATTTTAGGTCTCGGAGCTGGATAAGTAACATTTTGCAAAAAACTATATTTTTCAATAAATTCTACTTTTAAACTAAGACCTAAGATTAAATAATTCCAAAAGCAGTAAACAGTCTAAGGTCTTACATATTTTTAAAATTATATTGTCACGGGTACTTACCAACTAAAATGTTGCATATTTTTTTCGTCTAATTGTTGGGCATTCTTTTACATTTTATTTAAAGTAAAGCACCCCCGAGATGCTTTTATTATTGTGAAGTGCACAATATAAACGAGAGATCGAAATAAACTATTTCCAAGGTGCAAACCAAAACGACGCGGGAATAATGAACGGGCGACGCTCACCTTGGCTTGCAGTTTGCTAAACAAGGGGCTGTCTTCCGAGGAGATGCTCCGCAGCCACTCCGACTCCTCCTCCTCGGGATCATCCCCCACCATTACCATCGCCGAGGACCCGCGTTCGCGGCGCACAGACACGAAGCCTAAAGACTTGTTGACGTCTAGGAGCGATAAATCCGACGTGTCTTCTCCCTGTGTCACGTCTGTGGCTGCTGCGTACAACGTAAGGCGGGTGTCACTTCGCACCAGGCATGCAATGATGCGCACAGTAAAAGAAAACCTTGCACTCATGATGCAATGTATTCAATCGTGAGGGAGAATAAATCAATTTACGCTTTGTGCAACTGATAAACATTTTATGTGAGAGTTAGGATAACAGAAAGATGTTAAAACTGAGAGATTGAAAATTAGAAAGCAAAAAATGTTGACAAAAAGCGATTAATTAATTAAAAACATGATGGGTGCAGCTGGGGATGTGACTTACAGGCCAAGTCCAGATCGCCTGTCATGTTGCTGTTGCCCCGGAACTTTTTCGCTTGAGATCTCAGAAGACCGGGACACCATGTCTCCCTGCGCTTTGGTCTTGCCTGCACAACAATGACAAAGATCCCCCATGTAGCCTTTAACAGACTGTTGGGGCAAGTATTGTTAGCGAGCACATATTGGACCTGGCACACGAGGGGGAGGGTGGCCAACACTACAGACAACTAAAAATCAGCACTCTCCAATGCTGATATTTACACACCACCCAGGTACTAATTTAAGGATGAGTCTACCAAGCAGAGGCCCATTACCGGTTCAAATATTTGCCACTTATTGGTCTTGAGCGGGAATTCAACTCAATTGCTGGATTTGTGGCGCAGTATGCAACACCACTACACTACCGCTCTCCACATATACACGGGAAAGACCAGAAACATCACTGTGACAATTTCTTTAGGGTGCTATATGTATTCAAATTATTATCTACATTACATTAGGAAGGCATTACAGCACCCCTGGATACCACAGCCCCATTTTCCACACCCTGCAGCCAGCAAACGTGGAGCTTTGGCGGCGCGGACGTTCAATTCTCGTGGAAACTCACAGCCGCGGAGTCGTCGGCGGCGCCCGCAGCAGTAACACTGTAGTTGATGATCATGTGCTTGAGGCTGCGGATTCGCTCCTCGCTCTCTCTCTGCTGCTGATCGCGCTCTGCAAGCTGCTGCGCCTGAGCCTGGTGCATCTGCGTTTTCTGCGGGAAAGTAACATGTTACCAAAACAACGGCGATTAACGTCGATGTACATGTAAAGCTCAAGTGTCATATTCTGCTGGGTGATTGCCTCCCCTACGCCGTACAGGTCATTTCACCACACTTCACCATGCTGGTCAATGTGGGTTGATGAAGCTAGGAATAAAAGTTAAGTAAAGAATGTTGCTGCATTGCCCGATGCTGACCACCAGGTAACCATTGTCCTGGAGTTGCCTGTGACAACTTCTTTGTGGATATTGGCGGTCCATACCACACCAAAACAGTAATTTTAAAATCGGCTCCCGTAATGAAAATATTGCCAATTAACCTCTTAAATCCTATTTAACGAACCCCAAGAACAAGCATAGCCAGTATGCATTACTAGCTTCTTTGCCCGTCCTAGGATGGAAGCTGTCATATTTACGAAAAAATTGAGCAGAGCATTATTGTATCTTGTGTAGATTTAATGGCAGTGAATCTTGCACAAAGGTATGTCATCAAACACCTCGCTTAATGTCACTGTAGCACTGTATATAACTGATCTTGAATTTGTTCAAATTCACTGCTCTGATACTTTATTCGCTGGGGTTGAAATAAATTAGAAATCGATACAATATCTGGAAAATCACCGAGAAATGTCTATATTACCATAATGTAGAAGCATAAATTAGACTTACCTTTTGTCTCAAGTGATGAATAAATAAATAAATACACCAAATCCACTTTGTTGCTGCGTCGAATCATTTATTAGATTCACCTTCAATAAATAAACGTCAAACTTAAAGTGAATTTGTGAAAAAAAAAGTATTTCCGCTCGACCTTCTGCGCGAGTGTAAAAATCCGCTCATGAATATTCATGTCACGGGCGGGACACAAACAGACATTCTTGGCTCATTATAGTTGTACTGCCCCTTGTGCCAGCTGGGCTGTTGACAGCTCAAGTAGTGCTTAAATGTTGTATTCCACTCTACCTTTTATTTCCCTACCATAATCGTCAATTTATAAATCGCATCACTTGCCATACCATGATCAGAAGGCTTGCAAGTCAGGCCGGCTATTATTCCTCTTGGAACGGGCATAAACATGCGTACCACTTTGTGAAGAATTCAACAGTGATTTTAGTCAGAGAAGTGTAGCTCCCCGGCATAAGAAAGTGGAATGTTCACCTATCGCTCAGATTTAAATGAAGGAGACATGTCCTACAATGAAATTACATTTTAATCAGTACCTATTAACTACTACAGCATGCCAATTAGCAAGTGCCACTGACAAAGAAAACGAAACAAGCTGAAAAGTGTGAAAAGAAACATAGAAAGATGCATGCTTGGAATGACACTGAGATTAGAGAAAAGACATGCCAATCAGATGCATCATTTTGACAGTTAAGTTGATTTCGGCAAGACAAATCCCTAAAACGAATGACGAAGTGGCAGCCAAAGATAGAACACTCTCGAGAGTACAATCACTGCAGATGAGACAAAGCAATGAGATGTGCTCGTCCAAAGAAGTATGATGTACAATCAACATAACAAGACTGACCCAATAGTGAGAGCTTGGAGAGGCCTTCATCCCGAAAGTGGACAGGTCATGGCTGATAAAAGGAAACATTAAAATTCTCCTTGATGGTGTCACGATGCTAACAACACCACGCGCTCACCTGCATCAGTTCCTTCTTCAGATTCATGATCTCCCTCCTGCAGCATTTCAGCATGGCCTCATCATCAATCACCTCGTTCACATGAGCGGAATTCTTCATGTTCTTCGCCGTGCTGGCAAACTGTCACAATCACAAGTGCATTCTCCGTTAAGTTCACGCAAAAAGTAAGGGAGAACATCGACAGTGGAGATGTACGAGCAAAGATCAGATCAAATGCCTTAACATTTCCCAGCTTTACGAGGATTATACAGTGCAACTATCACGGTCCTAAACTGTCCTGCACTATACAAACGAGGTTTTGTAAATTTTGATTTAAAGCTTTCGTGACTGCAGTAATTCATATTCTTAGTTTTTTCGGTAAAGTCACGTGACTTTACCGAAAAAACTAAGAATATGAGGTTTTGTAACTTTGTAAAAAAAAAAAGGTGTTACTGTAATCCATCCTGTCGGCCACCAATTACAACATTCAGAAAATCAGCAATAATACCAGAGCTGGAGAAAAGGGATTGACCACTCCTTCGATGGCAGCAGTATCCAAGAGCGTAACTGTGAGGGTCAAAAAAGATGCTCTGCACCTGCTCTGAAACGCCCAGGTTATTGAATCGTATCCTTTCAATGTGCAGGCAGTAAACTGAAAACGCCTGACATCTGGACAAGGCATTCCACCCAACACATGGTGTCCCTAAACATCCGAAATAAATATAGGAGGCGATATGTGCGGCTTCACACCACGCCAATTTAATATTGGAAAAGGTTAAAAATAAAAACCTTTCCGCAACTCACTCCAAGCCGCATCAAGAAGAGTGTGGCTTATGGATAGGGGACGGGGAAGTGTGATAGTTGGAGTAGGCACATTGTGCTTGATCTGTAGCGCATTCCGCAGCCCAGACCAAACTGATGAATGTTATAACTATGGACCGGTGGCCGGCAGTATACGATGAAGAGAAATCTCCCACTATAGCCGGTCCAGCTCTCTGGCCTGTCTCATGTAAATATTATTTTGTTTAACCAGGTGAGAACTCAAGAGACAAGGATAGTTTCATTTGCAAGAGTCCAATAATTAAGTAGTCAGTAAGGGTCATTACCCAAAACGTCAGCCTACAAAACATTTTTTCCCGTTATAATATAAGGTTATAATGACAAACACGGTATGTTTTTATTTATAGATTGCAGTTGCCCACAACATTACAGGAACCATAACAAATGTTTATTTTATTTACCAAGTGTCTACCATCTCTTCATCTGTGGGGAACAGTTTTCGAACCCACCAAAGCATTATCAGCATCAAGGCAAAGCATAAGAACAAATTTATTCCCGGGTCACCCAACCTTGCCTTGAAAGCTATCATAGCCAAGCTGGCTTAAAATAAATGCAATTATCACATTTTTCAGTTGCCACTTTTGTGCCTTAATCATTTGGGGTGTAATAACACATGCGATTGATTCATATCGATTATTCAGTTCGTAATACGTGCATTGAATCACGTTTGTAAAAATCAACATACATTTATTTGTATGTTGTATTTAAAGGGGAGCAGTAGTGTACCTGAAGGCGCACTGCGTCAAACCCAGCAACCCGAGTTTGATTCCCGCTTACTAACAATAACAGCAGTGAATATCTGTACTGGTCATGGGGCTCCCCTAGATTGACTCAGTCTTAAATTAGTAGCTGGTACAGCAATTAAATTTCAGTACTGGGGAGACAAAGGTGACTGGGCATAGTGCTAGCCACCCGCTCCCTCATGTGCTGTGCGAGCCTTAATAGGTGCTTATTAAAAGCACTCACCCAAAATGTATTTTGTTAATGGGTTCACATGACCACTGCAACTGTTAAAGGCTGCTACATGCACCATTGTAAATATATTCTGGAATAAAATTGTGACCCTAGATCTCAAAATATTTAATCAAGAGGTAAATAATGAAGACATACAACTGCCCTCAGATCTAGTATTTACAATTGTTCTAATGCTCTGTCGCTGATGAGCAACCACGCCTTTTGACAGGCCACGCTGACAGAACTAGTCAGGCAGCTCTCATAAGAACTTCACATCAGGAGGTGCAAATTATGAAAAAGTAATAGATGCCTTTGGAATATTTTTTCCTTTAAACCAGTGGATCTCAATCTTGTGGTTTGGTGGCTACTCACAGCTCTAAAAACACCACTAAGGCTTCTTAGGCCATAATGCACAGATGAATCACATGTCCACACCCCTCTGGTCAAGGTGGTGTTATAACAAGGCACTGGTTTCATTTTATATATTAGTGGTTTGTTGTCGCAACATGGCGCTCACGTTCCACCCCCCAGGGGGCACGACCCATGGGTTGAAAACCCCTGCTTTAAACCGTGAATCTCCACTGGCACAACATTACATTTTAACTCGGGTGGCCACTACAAAACCCCATAATATACAGGCTTTTCTACAAGAGCCAGAATCACCGAGCGACCCGGCCATACCCCAAAACCTCCCAATTTCCCTTCCAGACTTCCTCTTAGCCCTGATTTGCGGCTGCTCCATACCATGAGGGTGCTGAGTGTCTCCTCGAGGGCGGCTGGTGTGACCGTGCACAGGATGACCGTTTTGGCGTTCCCCCCCAATGAGTTCTGCAGGATTCTCGTAAGCTTGCTGTCACGGTAGTTTAGGTACACACCCCTGTCGAGGGAAGAGAGGCATCAGTCAAGACGGCAGCAAGGTGCACTATAAGTAGTGCATGGATTATAAAACAGATTCTTACTCGACAGGTAAAGATTCACCACCCCCCCCCACCCAGACCCCTGCCTCGATGGAGGGGCATCATTTAGTCACACCTCTGTTCAAGAGTATATTCTGTTTTTCAGAGTAGATTCTCTAGAGGCAGCAGGGCCTACATAACAGATTCTCACACAGTTTGATGCGTGAAGGAATTGACCTTAAAACAAATCGATGCATCGTTACATGCCTAATTCTGACACTCCCAGTACATGCATCAAATAAAGCATCGAAGCAATGACTTACGAATTACGCAAATACAATTTAACCATCAAAATAATATGCAAATTATTATACGCTCATGTTAAATTCAGGTTTAATGGAGCAAACTAAACTGTACAAAGAGACAGAAGGATATGGAAACAAAAGATCGAGTACAAACCAGAATCAATTCTTGAATCAAATTTTCCCAATTTATTCAATCTTTGTGTCAACGCTGGGCTGGAAGCCACACCTACCCAGAGGGGTTTTCACTCAGCTTCTTAATGACCTGGCCCAGGATGAAGAGGCTTCTGTTGATGTTACATCCTTCTTTTAGCCTCAAGCCTATGAAAATTTAAAACGAGTTACACACAAATAGTGTAGTTACAAACACAAACAGAACTTGTTATAAACATTTTACCAACTGGTTTCATGATGCAAATTATTTTTTTTTCCTATAACACAGCACCACTACGTGCGGTAATGTTACCTTCTGCCCCAGTCTGCCTGGTCCTCTCGCTGCCAGCCAAGTCCACCAAATTCTTGAAAAAAATTAGGACAGACAAACGTTATTGCATAAAGTAATTTCTCATCACTGCAAAACCAGATAGAGCTTTTGAATCTATTTTTAAAAGTCACTTAGAAAAATTATACCAAACGTTTTTTTTCATCTTTATTACTGGCTTTGAGTTAATTCCATATTTTAAGAACAATTAATTAATTGCTCACACGTGAATCACAGAACATCTGGTGCACTGACATAATCCCAGACATCAGTTTGGCATAATCAATAAAGATCAACCGACACTACGTAGCGCTTCAACACTGCCGCAATCTTTACCAAGTGAGACACGGCGATGGCGCCATCCATCGACTCCCTCTGTGACCTCTCCCGGCTCTCGATGATCTGCATACATCACGTCAGTGCAAAGTTACGTCAGTGGCCAAACCAGTGCACGCAGGGCATTTGTGATGTCCCATTGGGTTAACTCTCTGGGCTGGCCAGGCACAAACCACATTTGCCCGCCCGAGTGCCGTTTACCATTCGGAAGATTGAATGGGACCGGCTGCTGTGATCGTTCATCTTGGTCTCTCCATAGTGGCGGTTCTCTGGCAGAGGGAACACAGCAAGCGATCACTAGTGCGAAAGAAAGATGCATTCCAAAAATAAAATGCCTTACATATACTATACCTAGGCTGTGTACAGAGAGATGTACGACACTAGTTTGGAAATCTTAAAGAACACAAATGCCTTTTTAAATCATCAAGCGAGGTGCTCCATCGTGAGTGTGCTCTCGTGATGTCACTGCATTGAATCTGTATAAAATGTATTTTGTTCTAAAGATGCACTCGACGGATATTTTTTTTGAAAAAAAGAGAAAAACTCTTGGGGTCCCACAGCCCTTGCTACTCAGCCTCTAGTGATGTAACTAGAATGAATTTGTATCAGAAAATACAGGAGAGACTTCACAGTGATATCAATGGAGTGCCATAACGACCAGCTTCACCATAAGTTTATGGGATTTTCGTTTCATTAGTGAAGCTCCTACCTTGTGCTATACAGTAATCCCTTCTTATTTGCGAGGGAAAAAATTCCAGAGATACTCATGAATAGCAAATGTCGGGAATAATATTGGCCTATGAATATTGTACAGGTAACATCTACAGATGCTTCTAAAGCTTCGAGAAGTTCTCTCATGTCTTGATCTCATCTGTTTATCTAATCACTTTATCACATTACATTCTCTCTCATAACGTAATCTGACGGTTTTCTTTTTCTCTCTCTTGATGCAATCGTGTAGAGTTCCAGATGCGATTCGCGGACAGCCAGAATTGAGCATTTTGTTAAATTGTTTTCCCCTCAATGACAATTAAGCCAGGATGTTTTCTGTTGAGTTGAAATTGAAAAGACAACACTGGCACAAATAAGATATCATCCATAATACAGTTTTTTTGGGTTAGATCACATAAATGTGTCGTTAAACCCTCCACCACCCGACAGTCAATTAGTAAGGTTTGTCACGTAAACAAAACATGCCAATTCGTTACTAGTACTGCACACCGATGTGTTGGAGAGCAAGTCCACAACATTTACAATCCGATTACCACGTTTAACCAGTAATTACAACTAGCTTCATCAGCGATAGCCAGATTTGTGGAGAAATCCTCCAGTTTCGTTGCTTAAATAGAGGGGTAGATGGGATATTCCTTACTTTCGCCAATGCTCATAATCTCCAGAATGTCCTTTATGCTGGTGATCACCTCCTCCCTCAGATCGGCAACGTACACCGTCCTCTGTGGCACAGTGGAGCACACCTCGTCACACGCTGGGCACTGGCACACATTGCCAGACGAGGAAAACAGCGGCATGTCCACAAGCCATTCAAATAAAACGATGCATGTCGGAATTACATTGACATCTTCGTGAATGTCCAGCGATTTCTTCTTTTTGTCTTTGGACAGCAGGTCACAGATGGTCTCGTTGTAGATTTCCATGTAAGAAACGCGCAGGAGAAACTCTCTGCTCGGCAGCTGTAAAATAAAGATGGTAAGATGCAGAAGACCCAGGAAGATAAAACAAAACTCGTCCTGTAAAACCTGCTTGAAAATTTGGAATTATATTCAGTGGAACAGATACAACAATTAAATTAATCACATCTTTATGAGGTTAAGATTCAATATGGGAATTCATTTTTCCTATTATTCTACGATCTACACTGGCCATATGATTTCCATTCGCCTGAAAAGTATTCATGCAAGATACAATTCACAGCATGTCAATCCAGTGCTGAATGAGGGCTTCCCCACACTGTGTGGCCTGGGGGATGATTTGATTATTTTGGACCACTGGTCAGTGTGGGTTTGTGAAGGGGTAAGGTTGAGGACAAGTCCTGACATCACTTGCAAGATGTAACCTATGGCTAGGAATAGAATTATCAGACTGAGCGCAGGGAACCACTCCACCATATGCAACATGTAGCAATTTTTAAACACACGATTTGATGTATTGCGAGTGTAATAATGAATTAAAACCGAAAAATCAAGAGTCAAATGCCACATGCTCATAGCTCTCTTAAGTTTAAACAAAACCCTTTGGTGCCGAAGAAGATAAAACAGTTTGTGTACTCTGTACAATCCAAACGATGATCATTCCTCAATGAAAAATGCAACATCATTCTCCACTGAATTGGCATTAAGAATACACCAGTACGAATGGAACTAAAAACAACTTCATCGCAGTTTACACTGGTGGCAAACTTACATTTTTTATGACGTCAAAAACCTCTTTCATGGCCAAGGGGATGATGCCTGGGTGGCTCTCAGATCCCAACATTGTGAAAGTTTTCCCCGATGACGTTTGTCCATAAGCGAAGATGGTACCTGCATGAGGAACGAGTTTGTTAGAATTAAAGTGTGTCCAGCAACTTCCCACTCCACGAAAAAAATGTGTAATCAGCCAACAGCTTTAGACTAATGCGTCTTTTCCACTGGCACAACAACGCCGAGCATGCACAGGGCCCTCACGAAATGGGGTGGTTTACGACAATTTGCCGTGTTGAGCCATGATACACTCACATCACAAGACATGGCTCACAGTCAAGCAGGGCCAGGTATGGGTCAATGACATGTTCATTGCATTTAAAGTCAGCCAAAACAATGAAGACACAGCATCACAATGTCATCTATATGCATCTCAACCCGTTCATTGTGCGTGATGTCAAGGGCACGCCACGGTTTCTGCATTGGGTAAACACTGGTGCTGGTTCGGCACAACCCCACTGTGGCTCCGGTGGCACAGTAGGGAGGTGCATAGCACCTACAAAACAGGTACACAGTTCATGTTATTTGCAGACACCACTTTTCTGCAAATTTGACCATCTCTCAGATGCAATGGGTCTTACCATTGTAGCCTTTGACAGCGGCTTTAATGATGGGCCTCGCAATTTCATCGAACACATCACAAGTCTGTTCATCGACGCCAAAGACACGGTCTGAAAAAAAAAAGGTGGTTATACAATTCCTACTAAGAGCATATAAATAGAACACGCATTTACTCAGCCCAGCAAGTTGACATTTTGGTCACAATACATTCATTAAAATGTATTAAAGAAGCCAAATTGCTTCATTCCATGGGTTATAAATTACACAGGACAGGGTACAATCTGAATCCTGCAACTTTTGCAGAGCCTACTCAAATCCTCTTTCCAGGCTTGCATAATACATTGCTACAAGAACTACCAATTGTACTGTGCAGAAAATTGTCCGAAGGTTGCGGAAATCTAAACAAATACATGTCAATTCATCCAATGGAATTTTTTTTCTCTTTTGTAACAATAATATTTTACGATGGTGAAATGTATATTTTTAATTTCCCACACTTGTAAAACCCATTGCTTGAATCCCCACGTGATGCGAGGTTGAGGTGCAGTGTGAACAAAGAGTTACCAAATATGAAACATTTGTTGTTGTCAATCTGAGTCATGGAGTTTTTGTCTGACTTCCAGTACGTGACATTGCTGCCACTGGTGGTCTCCCTGAAGGACAGACATCACACCAACACAACCTCATGAGGCTATTTCTAGACGTAAAAAATTATTGCAAAAAAAGGCAAAATTTACAATATACAAAATTAAATTAGATTCGAAGCTTTCGTGACTGCAGGAATCTCTTTGGTTCTTTCGGTAAAGTCACGTAGAAAGAAAATAAATGAATAATAGAATACGACGTTTCGATTGGAACACAAGCAACCATCATCAGGTACGAATTAATGAGAAAACAAACATAACAAACGTATAAATATAATGCAATACAACCCAGAGAGTCGGCCAACACAACAGTCTTGTGCCTTAAAACGGTGTGGCATGCTGTGTGCCGTGCTTGGTTTTAAAACCACCAAGTTTGCAGAACAACAATACTGTAATAACGTGTGACAAGTTTCCCGAGTTGCTCCGGGTTATCGTCGTAACAGCACGGGGAAATGAGAGACGATGCTTAGGGAATTGGCAATGTGAGAGAGGTGAACAAGAGGGAACGCTAAGGGTTGTGTGTGGGGCCCTATGTACAAATGAACAAAATTAGTCACGTACATAACATGCTCGCTAAAAAACACACACACATATACACACTTTAGATGTCTGCATATGGGGACACGTCAAAGTACACTTGGGTGTTGTTAATATCTCAGGCAGTTGTTGTCGAAGGCGGAACGGTATCAACATTTTCTTGGTTCTTTCGGTAAAGTCACGTAGAAGGGAAACGATAAAATAATACAAATAAAACATAGTAAAATAAAATTCTCACGACGTTTCGGCCACAACACAAGCAGCCGTCCCTCAGGTGAAGAAACAGAACTGTCGGAAAGACAGCGCCCCAATGAGTCGTGAGAATTTTATTATGTTTTATTTTTTATTATCTTATTATTTCCCTTCTACGTGACTTTACCGAAAGAACCAAGAAGATGAATCCCTGCAGTCACGAAAGTTTAAGGTATCAACATTTTTTTTAGAGTTTAAAATAGGAGGCGAGGGAGATGGCATGAAACGGAACTCACGAACTAACATCGCCAACCCTTAAATAATAAGGAACGCAAACATGAACTCGCTCGTTACAGAACACAAGTTTCACTCGACATCCGTGTGATGTTTGTTGCACGTTACAATTAACAGGCGGAAACTCCACAGAGGCAGAGAGAGCGAGAGGCGAACGCCGTCTTCATCACATCGCAAAACACCGCACAGCGATTACAAATTAACGCATGCAATTTACAAACCTCTGTATCAGGGGTCGTACACGGACGCACACCTTGACATTACCCTCGCCCATCTCTATACCCCGTACTTCTTTATGAATGAAAACAAAAAATAATTTTGCTTTAAAAGCTTCGTAAGTTATGAGGAAAATTTATTTAAAATCTCCTCCGCCTCAGCAGCCTAGGCATCGACTCGGACGACCGTTACGAGATGGGGAGGGGCTAAATTTAAACTGACACAGGCGGCCCTGCGATTGGTTGAGAGGCTCGAGCGAATTGACCAATTGGGATGAGAGCACAGTTTTTTAAAAAAGACAACAATCATCTCACACAGCCTCTGTGTCATAGTTCATTTATTCAGTTCATAGTTCATTTATTTGGTATAGCCCTGTGAGCCATTCTGACACCGGCAGTGAGACCAGGCCACAAAGAACGCTGCTGTTCTGTAATGTCTGTGGTGTAGGCCAATCGTTTTTCAAAGACAATGCCACCAGAGCACGTTTGTTTGCATGTTCACCGCAAGTACGTGTGGTTATCGCAGACTTAGTCTTTGGTTCTATTGGGTAAAGTCACGTAGGTAAAAAATAAAATATCGCAGACTTGCATATCTGTCAAGAACCACCCCCCCCCCCTTATTCGTGCCTACCTTATGGCAGACCAATTCAGACCTTATTGTTCACCACGTGCCATTGTAAATCTCAACGTTCATATTACAAAGCCGCATCACAAGGGAGAAACAAACACATACACATTCTTGGTTCTTTCGGTAAAGTCACCACGTAGAAGGGAAATAATAAAAGAATAATAAAAATCACGGCAAGCTTGCTGTTTTTTTCACACCTGATGATGATTGCTTGTGTTGCAATCGAAACGTCGCGAGAATGTTTTTGTTTGATATTTTTTATTATTTTATTATTTCCCTTCTACATGGTGACTTTACCGAAAGAACCAAGAATATGAATCCCTGCAGTCACGAAAGCTTTAAATCGAACATTAAGCACAGACACTGATTTTGTTTGTTGCCCGTATTGAAACGGCTCGACCTGAAAACTCAATTTCCATGTGTACACGGGGTAAACCGTATGGGTTGACAAGTATGCAGTAACTAATTATCACATTTTGTTGACGTGACAAACCTTACTTGGTTGGCTCCAGTGTCGGGTGGTGGCGGTTTAACGACACAGTTATATTTACGTGATCTGATCCCCAAAAAAAACCTTTGATGAATGCATAACAATCAACTCCATGCGTTCGTAAATAGCACTACGTTGTGTAAGCCTTAAACGAGTCGCAGTATTAGGCAACGTTTCGGCCAATGGTTCTATCTGAAAAATAAGTTAATGCCTCAGTGGGCTTTGCCTGGTAGGATGGGGATTGTTTAGTTTTTGTTGGGTGATAACTTTACCTTTTTTCCGTGTAAAGTTTGACTTAAAACTTTCGTGACTGCAGGGATCTATATTCTTGGTTCAAGAATACTGTATATATTTTTCCCTGTACTATGCACTCCGATCGTGTTTGTTGTTGTAACGTTCTTACCCGCCCCTAGTGGACATCTGTGGAAAAAAATATATTTATATCTCATCAGATTCCTCCAGTGAGAATACTCACATTCTGATCTTCAACAACGATTGTCTTATCTAGTGCAAAGAGCAAATATAAGTCCATTAGATAGGATTGATAATCATATCACTAGTCATTCGTGGTTTGTCAAATTAACAATCGTTTCATTTTCAAATTGTTCATTTCAAAGTGTACGTTGTTTCCCAATCAATTTATTGAATTTGTTTATTTGTGTTGTTTTTGTAAAAAAAAATTGTCATCCTATAATGTGATTGTATCAATTTGATTCCAATATTCAAATATTACTTGGTAAGTTTTATCGCATTAATGATTTAGATGTGTTCATTAAGTCACTTTAATTATTATGTATTCGCTTTGCAATCATTCACGAGCTTTGTTCGCTCTAGATTATTTAATGTTAATTGTTAACTGTGTTTGGGTATTGCTTTTGAATCCTTGCATCTCTTGAGTCACTTAATAGTCACTTTAAGATGCTTTCTTGTTTATGTTTTTTGTTTGTTGCGGTTGCACCCGATTCAAGAGCCGAATGGCTCACAGGGCTATCTCCATATATAAAAGGCAAAGTTGTGAATATGTGTGTCTGTTCAAAATGTTTAGCCTACTTCCCGACATGCAACAAACTGGAAATTTGCCATGTGGGTACTTTCCAGACTGTACAGCATGCAAAAATTATAAAAATACACTTTTGCTTTTCTTTTTTATGGGGGGGGGGGGGGGAGCTTAATAATGCATCTTTTTTTTGCACGGCAAGTGAGCTGTGACGTCAAATCTGTCACGTGACCCGCGCACGTGGACGCGTAACGCATTGTAGTGTTGTGGTTAGCGCGCCGCGCTACGAACCCGGCGACCCGAGTTCGATTCCCGCTCACAGCCACCACCAGTGACGATTATTTTAACCGGTCCTGGGCCTCCCCTAGGTCGACTCAGTCTCAAACAATTAACTGGTGCGGTGTCTGAACATCGCCACTGCGGAGACAAGGCGGCCGGGCGTGATCAATCCAAGTCCCGGGCGAAACCGGGTAGTAAAACTCGTACCAAATAAATGAAACTGAAACTGAGGCACGCCAACAGAGACATTTTCACACGTTTAATGCGCTTTCTAAAACTATCCTTATGGCGGTACCCCGGGGTACCCAATAATACAAAGTGACTGAGGCAATTAAATATTTTATTTCTAGGACACTATTTTTCCCAGGGGTGTACTTAACCCCGCGACTGGGGTACCAATCAATCCGATATCAGTGCTACTCCACGATGTCGAAACGCCAAACATCAGCATAAAAGAATCCGTTATCGAAAATTTCAACTTTGAATAGTGCATCGTGTACAGCTCGTCGAGATGAGTCGATTGCCGCATCGCCGACCATCAACAGACTAAAAGTGACTGCATCACGGACATTATGCGAGAGCCGGGGTACTATGGTACCCTGGGGTACTGCCATAAGGTTCAAATGTTCGGGTTTTGAGAGAGGTATCCTCACCAATATTATGATTCGTAATAATTTTTTTAAGTCAGATGTGATTATTACTCTCCAACCCACCTGTCTGCTGAAGCAGTCATAAAATGGGACGTTTGTTGACATTACATCTCTATTAATGGGCTGTGTCGGGTGGAGGAAGGTTTACAATACACATTGTGTGCATGCAATATGACCCAAAACATGAATTGTGAATCATATTGGATGCAAAAGCCTCCGTTATGTTCATCTCAGATTTTCTGACGACATAGTTATTATTATGCACTGTATTAGCAACCCAACATGCGAAGGGATAACACCCAATTTGATGAGAACAGGTTTTCCCCTTTTTTCTGGCAACAAAACATGTGTCAAGTTGTCTTGGTTCTTTCGGTAAAGTCACGTAGAAGGGAAACACCCAATTTGATGAGAATAGGTTTTCCCCTTTTTTTCTGGCAACAAAACACGTGTCAAGTTTTCTTGGTTCTTTCGGTAAAGTCACGTAGAAGGGAAACACCCAATTTGATGAGAATAGGTTTTCCCCTTTTTTCTGGCAACAAAACATGTGTCAAGTTGTCTTGGTTCTTTCGGTAAAGTCACGTAGAAGGGAAACACCCAATTTGATGAGAATAGGTTTTCCCCTTTTTTCTGGCAACAAAACATGTGTCAAGTTGTCTTGGTTCTTTCGGTAAAGTCACGTAGAAGGGATAACACCCAATTTGATGAGAATAGGTTTTCCCCTTTTTTCTGGCAACAAAACACGTGTCAAGTTTTCTTGGTTCTTTCGGTAAAGTCACATAGAAGGGAAACAATAAAATAAAAAAATAAAAAACAATAAAATTCTCACGACGTTTCGACTGCAACACAAGCAATCATCATCAGGTGTGAAAATCACAGCAATGTTTTTAAAAAGTGGCGGTTTTTTTAACGTTAGCACCACGGAGAGCGATTTGGCAGTTATTCAGATGGACGAGTCCATCTATGTTCGGAAAAGAGGAGGGGGGAGACGAAAATAATGGATGGGGTCTGAAAGCCACCGTAAAGTGGATTGCCCGGGATTCCGTAAAATGTGTTATCGCCACCACATCCTGCCTCCGCGTGGCAAGATGGCCGCCTGAGGCGCGCGCTCCCGGGGTGCGCTCACAGCAGCGACTGGCCGGGCCGTTTGTGAGGGGGCCGGGGGGGGGGGGGGCAGAAAAAAGTTGCAATTTTAAGACGCACATGAGGGGCAACTTTCTAGATCGTTTCAAGAGTTCGATTCCAAGTCACACGGATTGAATGAGGTCGCGGTGTTCCATCTCACATGCTTAGCAAGATGGCCGCCTGAGGCACGCGCGCTCCCGGGCCGCGCTCCCAGCAGCGGCTGGCGGGGGCCGTTTGTGAGGGGGCCGAGGGAGCCGACAAAGGGAGCCGATGGAGCCGAGGGGGCCGACGGAGCCGGGGGAGCCGACGGGGCCAGGGGAGCCGGGGGGGGGGGCCGGGGGGGGCCGACGGAGCCGGGGGGCGGGCGACGGAGCCGGGGGGGGGGCGACGGAGCCTTGGGGGGGGGCGACGGAGCTGGGGGGGGGAGGCGACGGAGCCGGGGGGGTGGGCGACGGAGCCTTAGGGGGGGGGGCGACGGAGCCTTAGGGGGGGGGCGACGGAGCCTTAGGGGGGGGGGGGGGCGACGGCGCAAGCAGAGGGAGCCGACACTGACTTTCTCACACATCATACACTGACTCACTCACACCATGCACTGACTCACTCACACATCATACACTGACTCACTCACACCATGCACTGACTCACACCATGCACTGACTCACTCACACCATGCACTGACTCACTCACACCATGCACTGACTCACTCACACCATGCACTGACTCATTCACACATCAAACACTGACTCACTCACACCATGCACTGACTCACTCACACCATGCACTGACTCACTCACACATCAAACACTGACTCACTCACACCATGCACTGACTCTCTCACACACCATACACTGACTCACTCACACCATGCACTGACTCACTCACACATCATGCACTGACTCGCTCATCATGTGCTTACTCACTCACACATCATACACTCACACAACCACTGACCCATTCACTCATCATACACAGGTTCACTCATCATGTGCTGGCTCACTTGTACATCATACACTCACTCACACTGCCGCTGACTCTCTCACACATCATACACTGA